CTTATCCAGAGCACCTCATTGACCTACCTGAGCTAGGGGTGTGCTGGGCCTCCCTGTGTTCAGTCCTCTGTCTTTGAGAGGCAAAGGAAAGGAGAGGAGAGGTTCCTGCCTTGGCTTCTCTCCCGCAGAGCGCCCACCGACCCTGCAGTGTTTTAACATATACATACATACACACACATATATATATATATACACACACACACAGACACACACACACACACATACATACATACACACTTTAAAAGCCTGAGCATGCAAGGACAGGGTCGAATGGCCTCTGAATCACAACTGGTGACTCTGCCAGATGTCCTAGGACGTTCAGCAGATGACCTGGCTAAAACCAGCTTGGGAATATAAAAAAGGAAAGTCGGGCATATACAATTTGATTCATTTTAGAAATCTAAAGGAATGATTTTGCAGTGGTCCTAACTTTGTGTTCATATCACTTAGTTCCTAAGTACTGATCATAACAGAGATGCCAGAGATTTTGAAAGTACATATTTCCACAGCATGTCGGGTAAGAGCACTAATGGGAACTCTTGTGTGAGCCTTCCCCGGTGGGCAGCTTACCTCACACGGCCCTAGGAGATATTTCTAAACACTGAAAAGACCTACGTAGGCAATTAATACATGCTTTTTTGTCAGTTCACGGCCTTAGTCTTCACAGGACCAGGATGAAGCAGAAAGGGATGCCTAGTTTGTCTCTGTTTATCACCCCGTGCTTGGTGCTGTATCAAGTGATGGCTTATTTCAGCCTAATTGTGCTTAGGAAAGGCTCTATTTCACTTCAGGAAGGGGTATCCAAAGGGAAATTCATAAGTTAAGCTTCTGTCCTTCCTGCAGCCAATATCCACCAAGGACTGCAGTGATGAGGCCCTTGTGCCCAGGGACCCTACCCTAACCCTCAGAGATGACTCCCCGATGAGACACATTATTTAGGTAGTGTTTTGATAACATATTCTGTGTCTGGACCAAAATAATAATTTCAAATAGTTGTCCGTCATAAACAGATGCTATGGCTGATGCCAGGAATGGAATTGTCTAATGCCCAGCAAGACAACAGCGCCCTTGGGTCTTTACCCTCCTTTTGTGACGTATCTGATGCATCTTGTGCTTCCAAGCCATCAGGACAGATTAAAGTCTGGAAGCACCTAACTGTTGAGCCCACAGTGCACTGTGGCTGTGAGGGCCAAGTGAGGGTTGTGGTTGCCCAGTGCATACGAGGTGCTGGTGGGCACCATGCAGGCTTGGGAGTCTGAGCTGGTGCCGCCGTTGCCCTTCACATGTCTAGTCGTAGAGGACAGAGATCACCATTTACAAACCTGCCTGGTCCTCTGCCCAGCGTGTCCGCTGAGGGTCAGATTGGAGCTTTGTTTATCCTGATTAATACAGAGGAAACTGTTTCCAGTTAAATCTGTGAAAATTACCCTATGGGAGCAACAGTTTCTGAGAGGCCCCATGCTGTCACTTCAGAACACAGCCCCACAGAACAGAAGGGATGTCAGGGAGGACAAGTGCGTACAAGTGCACACCCAGACCACACGGGGGCGCCCGGCTCACCCCTGCGGTAGACTCGCATTGAGTAAGAATGTTCATTGGAACCAGAGCCTGGGCTGCTGCTGGTCCAGCTGTCCTGCTTGGCTGCACCTGTTGTCACAGCTGGGACTCTTCCAACACTGTGCTGAGCTGCTGCGAGGCCTGAGGGATCAGAAAGGGAACCAGCGTGGACTCATCACACAGCACAGCAGGTTCACATCTGCTCACTCCATTCCCTCCGAGCCACGCTCCAGAACCACTTGAGTTGAGGCCCTTTAACATTGGTGTAAGGGGACAGTAAGTGTGACTTCTTGAACTTGGAAGGTGCTTTCCTGGATGTTGTGGGGAAGACGTGAGGCCTCATAGGCAGCTGTAGGCTCAGGCCCATCTTTCTACACACTTTGAAACTCCAACTGAGGTGCAGTTTGGCACTCGGCACTCCTGCAGACAGGTCCCACGGGAGGCCTGTGGAGCCCAGGGTCAGCTTTTCATTTATCTGGTGAGTGTGTCGAAAGTGCACAGTGCTTTGGAAAAGACTGGCTCTGCCCCCACAGGACCCGCACTACCTTTCTACGCACATCTGTATGAATGACCTACCTCTGCTCTTCCTGAAATGGGCCACTGCTCGAGACCAGTTTAGACAGAGTTTATATTGTGATCAGTCCTTCAGACCTCTGTGGGCATAAAAGAAAAATGCTGGCTTTTAAAGTTACCTCTCCAAGATTTTCCTTAGATTTATTTAGAAATAAAGCATCTGAGATTTCCATACTCTGTGACCACCTGAAATTGGCTTTATCTCTGAAACTCAGTGTGCCCCAGTTCCTCTGTGGCCCATCATGTGCCTGACCAGCCACCGAGTTCCTCCCCACTCTGTGCTGAGTGAAGGGCTGATGTCTCTCAACAAGGAAGCTGCCTTCATGACCTTGTGTCTTCGGCGTGCATTGCATTCCCAGCCTTCAATCTGCAGGAGTCTGGGATGCCGCCTTTAGCACCCACATCCGAGTCCATCTCGCACGCAATTTCAGTCCATTTTTGTCTGCCACCTTGAATTACCAGAACAGGCTCTCAGCTCCACCAAGATGGAGATATGATTTAGCAACATGAGACAAAACTCCCAGTCCACACTGCTCTCCTTAGGGAGCAGGAGGGGCACTTGACTCCACATGTGTCATAGAAAACTAAATACCATGGGAATCAAATCGGGTTCTTAGCTGAAGCGACCTGAAACCCAGGTTGGGAAACAGGCAGGTGATAAGATTCTTTCTGAGGAATCTGCCAGTCTGCCACTGCCTCGAGGGGCTAGGGCAGGAGCACAGCCAGGTTCCTCTGCCACATCCCACTTTTCTTCACAGAGGTCAAGTGATTGAGGCACAGGCTGTCCGGGTCTCTCCTTCCGCAACATGGTCCCTTCTGTGTTGTTGGCCACTCTGCTCTTCCTAAAATCCCTCTGACCTGGTACCAAAGGCCCATGTGGAGGCAACCTTCTCATCCTTCACCCAACTTGTTCAATGATACTAGCTTCTTAAAGTGAACCTCTTTTTACCCTTGCATCAAATCAACCCCAGAGGTGAGTGTCATTCTCGTTTTACAGATGGGCAGTTGGGCTCATGGAGGTTGGTAGGCAGACCTGTCTGGATCTTATACTGATGTAGCTGTGGAGTTCAGTGAGGGTGAGCTCTGTCACTTAGGCCACCCCAGGTGCTGCATCAGGTGTACCTGTTCACCTGGCTCAGGTCCCCAGCCAAGGTGGCCTTAAGATCCAGGCCTGTAAGGGATATTCAAAGACACACAGGACCCCATATACTTCTGCAGCTCCAGGTTACCCTGCCCGAGAAGTTGTGCCCAATCTTCTGCCTATGCACCTCTGGGCCTCATGTGGTTGGCTGAGTGGATGCACCTTGTCTTCAACGACCCTGCTGTGGAAACTCAGCCCCCAGTCTCTTTCTATTCTGCCCCACAAAAAGCCAGAATATGGTGGTCTCAGCTCTACAGGTTGAGGCTAATTTGTATCAGCAATACCTTGTCCCAAAAGTGCAGATCTCTAGAGTGCTTGTCACTCCTGGGCTCATCTAGGTCAGTCACGTGTTGTTGTCACTTAGTGACTCAGTGCACAGACCTCTAAGTATGAAGTGACCCTGGGCAGGATGTGCTCTTGGTGGGCTCTGCCAACTTTTCTGGGAGCCAGTTTGTAACCACAGCAAAATAGGTTTGTACCAGGCAGTGTGTGACTGCACTCGGGGAGTAAGACGTCAGTCCGAGTCCCACTGATGTCCCAGTCTAAGAGGATGTGCTGTCCAGTGTTTTAACTGCCCCTTTCTGGGACATCACTGCCTGTTTTCCCTTCTTGCCTTGCATCTGGCCTCTATTGGCGGCCCTTAGTCTGCAGGAGTCTGCTGATGGGCTGCTCCTCTCAAAACTACTTGAGATGCTGGAGAGCTGAACCATTTCATGGTGTAACATGGGAGCCCACGGGTGAAGGCAGCGCCCAGGATGATTTCAACAAGTATTTTGCTGAGCAGCACCTGGCTTCTTGGTGGATGCCCACACGCACATGTACATGCTAAAAAAAAGGATGCAGTGTCTTAAAAATGACCCTGCAGTTGTTTCAAAGGTTCTCCAAATTCTGTGATTGCTTCTTATGTCTTTATAACATTTAGTCTCAAAATCAGTGTCCTAAGACATTTAGGACTTATTCTAGTGGCCTTAGCGGACACTTCAGTGAGACTGGACTCCAAAGCTGCCTCCAGAGTCCCTTCGTGTGTCATGGAAACCCTCAGCTGGTCTCCAAGAGCTCCTAGCTTTGCCTTTGCTCAGAGGGGGTTGGCAGGGACGGAACCACATCTCAGAGGGGGTTGGCGGACATGGAACCACATCTCAGAGGGGGTTGGCAGACATGGAACCACATCTCAGGGGGTTGGCAGGGATGAAACCACATCTCCTTCAGGATGCATCACTGCTGCATACTGTAGTGGTTAATATTGTCAGCTTATCAGGTCGAGAATTGCCTAGGGACAAGCCTTTAGGCTTGAGGGTGAGGGCTTATCTAGAGTAAGTCTAACTGAGGGAGGAAGACCCATCTTAACTGTAGGTGGCACCGGTCCATAGGCTGCAGTCCTTAGCATTCATCACTCTCTGCTTCCTGACTGTGGATGCAATGTGAGCAGTCTCTTCACGCTTCCACCACCATGACTTCCCCACCATGATGGGCCGTGTCCTTGGATTGTGACCCAAAACAAACCCTTCCTTTCTTAAGTTGATTCTGTCAAGTATTTTGCTGCAGCAACAAGACTGGTAACTGTGGCCCAGGCCCACCAAATGACCTGTCAGTGTGCAGTGTGCAGGGCCCACAACACCTCGGCTCCCTGGCCATTCCCCACTACAAACACAGCTAGTGGCTGCTGGCTGGAAGATCAAATCCAGGACAGAGTGCAGAGTGAAGCATTTGTGTAAACATATGCCACAGATGACCCAGACAAACACTTTAATGTTTTCTTTTTTGGAAACATAATTTAGTCATCTTACCTAAAGCACTTTTCACTCTGTCTCTGGCAATCAAGGGTTACAGAAGACGCAGCACCGAAGGATGACAGGGATACCTTCCCCTCCACCCCAGCCCTGCCTGCAGCCTCATATACCCTTTGAAGTGTCACAGAACCAGGTGCACGCAAACACACTTCCATTCTCTCTCTCTTTCCCTTCTTTCTCACACAAGACAAATGTGTGCACATGAACAGAAAGATAACCAAATCCACTACATCACATGGGAAAAAAGACTTGAGAGCATCTTCCTTCCCTTCTGGCTCTGAGACAAACTCCATGGCTGGAGAGGCTGTGACTTCTGCTGGTCCCACAGGGCTCCCCAGCCGCGATCACTGAGTCCCACTAAGAAGGCTAGGCAGAGGCCACCAATTCCCCAAGGTTCCCTTTGGAGGTGACATCCCCAGTCAGTCACTCTGCTTCTGTTTGTTGTCGATGTTGCCATAGGCAGAGCCCTTGTCGATCTCTGTCACGCCTATCATCCATCGAACTCCCATGGAGGCTGCAGAGACGGGGAAGGGGAGAGTTAGGAGCCCGGATGTGTTCCAGGTGCTTCACCACAGGAACCATTGAGCTTTCTTGGTATCCTTCAGCACATCTGACATTAAAAGGCTCAGTGGGCTGCTCTGCCTGGGATGCGGGGGGTTCATCCTGGATAGTGGAGGTAAACAGTTTGGCAGGCGGTATGGAACTATCCACAGAGCTCACAGAATGCTCTGCTTTCGGTGTTGATTGTCCAAGGCAAAGGTGGCTTGGAGCTGTTAGGGCAGGAGCCTGTGAGGTGGAGCTTTTGAGGATGCACAGGGGGCCTGGGGAATGCAAGAACCCCAGAACTGCATGCTCCACAAACACCACTGTTTTGGGCTGAGCACAGGGAGCAAAGTCACTGCCCCTGTGGACAGCCCTTGTTCTCCGAAGCTGTGGCCTGTGACACAAGTAACCCCAAGAAACTCACCCAGAAGTTGCTATGTGGCCCTATGGGCATGGCTTTGTGAGCTCCTTGAATGCTAGGCCATGTCTGAATCACCTCTTTGTGCCCAATGTTGAACATACAGCCTGGCAAACAGTTTTTGATCTTATAGGTGAGCAAGCAAATGCAGCCCACCAAATCATGGCAACACGTCACAAAGCACGAGCACCGAGCTCTGTGTAAGCTGGTACTCAGGGTCAGGCAGTGGATGGGGGCAGGGAGGACAGGCCAACCCATCTGGAACATGCATGCCCTGTGGTTATTAACAAGTCAAGAGGTGTCTACTTGGGATCCTCTTGTGAGGCTGGAACTTGAGCCCTGTCCTGATTTTGGCACTTGTGTGGAGTGCCTCATCAGCAGAAGGAACATGGAGACCACAGAGAGCAAGGTAAGTAAAGTGTGGACTCTCGCTCAAAGGCCTTGGGAAGAGAAGGGAGGCTAGCACAGAGCAGTTCAGGGGAAATGCTGGACTTGAGGGGGCTGCAAACTGGAATATGATGCCAGCAGGACATGACAGTCCCTCAGGTTCTCCTAAAGATACTTCCTGTGTGTGAAGCAGAGGCCGAGGTTGGCCATAGCTCACAGGCCCTGTGGCGCTGAGCAGCCCTGGTCAGCTTCCCTTGCAGCATCCAGTGTGTGTGTGGCGGGGGGGGGGTGTCTGAGTTAGAAGGTGCTTTCTTACCCATCCTCTTCTGCACTTCTTTTTTCCCTTCTAGGAATGGGTGTTATTTTAATATTTTAACATTAAAATGTAACTATAGGGGCTGGTGAGATGGCTCGGTGGTTACGAGCACTGGCTGTTCTTCTAGGAGACCTGGGATTGGTTCCTAGCACCCATATGGTAGTTAACAACCATCCTTAACTCCAGTTCCAGGGGACACAACACCCCTCTTCTGGCCTCTGTGGGCATTGCATAACACAGATGCACTTACATACTTGCAGATAAAACATTCATACACATAGAAATAAATAAATCAAAAAATTATTTACTGTTTCTACAATTTTTAGAAAGCCTGTCATAGAGTATCTGTTAGGGAAGTAAGCACCAGTGTGCCTATTTTAGCCAGAGCCTAGAATGAGTCAGCCTGGTGCAGACAGTGAGGTTGGAGTACGTGCTAGGATATCAAGGTGCTTACAATTTACTAGGTGAGAAAAAGTGGGTTCAGAAGATGCATCTAGCAGGGTGATCTGTGCCTTGATGCCTGAAGCTGCAATGGTCACTAAGGGATGGTTATCTGTGGCAAAGGCTCCACACAGAAGTCTATTCCTGAGACATTTCCCATATTAGGTCCTTAAGCTACCCAGGTCTCTTGACAACACACAGCATTTTCTGTTTCACAGAAATACCGTCTCATGGTCAAGGACTCTGTCACTTCTCAGCTGTGGGAAAGCCAAAGCTCTTACAAGCCCAGGAGCAGACTCAGCCTCCAGGGGACAGAGAAGCACAGGGTAGTGACATGGACGGGCAGCCCTTTCACAGAGACAGGGGCAGCATGTACCCAGATGCCTTGCACAGGAGAAACGGCTGAAGTGAAATAAAAAAATAATAAATGAAGCCTTTGTGAAGAATGAAGAGGGCAGTCACTAAGTGTCCCCACCTGGCCACAGGGGAGGACTGCCCTGGTGAGGGGCCCAGGCCTGCTTCCAAAGCAAAGAGCCTGCTACTAGCTCTCCACAAGCTCCATGTGGTGTTTCCCTCTGGAGAAGGAACAGCTAGAATGGGCACAGAATTACAGAGGGCAGAGAGGTAGGACTCCAGGCCCGCCTCCTCAAACATCACTCTGAGCCCAGTCCTTGTGGGAGCCCCTCCAAGGAGCGCCTCCTCTGGCCTGCTCTGCCTCTCCCACACCAGGTATTTGCCAAGTAGCAGGACAGTGCCAAGCACACTGGCTCCATGTTGAGCCCGTGACTCTACACTCACCCATACAGAAGACGAAGACCAAGCTGGCCATTGTCACCGAGGAGCCACTGCTGACCATGCTGACGAGGAATTGGAAGAAAGGGTAGAGCAGTAGTGATGCCCAGAACAGCCAGTTGACCAGAGCCCAGGGCCGCCGTGGGGGAACCCAAGGAGTCTCCGGGAAGACACCTGTCCTGTAGTACTCCTCCTGAAAGGCATCCTGGGGGACAGAAAAGGGGACATCAGACACCATGCTGGGCTCAGTACATCCTGAGGCCTTGCTTCTGAGGAAGTTCAGAGATACATGGGTCTCTGGCAGATCCTTAAGGTAATTATGGGCAGCTTCTGGGTATTTTCAGTGCAACCTACCGGTTCCCTGCCTCCAAGGCCACAGACCTGAGAGGTAGTTGCCACTGCCCTTGCTTTGTGCAGGAGAGAGGAGCCTACGTTTGGTACCAACCAGCCTGAGTCATGCTTATCCTATATGAGGCTCTTGGACATCCCAGCAGGACTGTGATGGCTTCCAAAATAGGTGGATAGGATAGGCTGACAGGAGAGTGAATGACAGACCACATCAAAGCTGACCACTTGATGTCATCTCAAGCTCCCACACCCAACCAAGGAACACACTGTGTACTGTCACTCTGGCCTCTCCTCAGGCAGATTTCCATCAACTGCCCACAGCACCCCTCTACCATCCATCAACCTGTCTGTAGCCCTGGAGCTTGGGTGACAAAAGTCTGCAGGGTACTGGTCATGGTGGGTGACAACACAACATTGGGACTTCATCCATAAGATCAAGTGAGGGCATAATAATTAGATTCTCCCTGCCCTGTGTATGTCTTTGGAAGAGAGAAGCCTGTGAAAGTCAAGGCCACCCTCAGAGGAGGTGAGAACAAGCAGCAAGCCTTGGGGAACTGGACCAGGAAAGGCATGAGATACTCCAGCATGCCTGAACCCAGCCAAGGCTGGCTGACCCTCAAGAGCCGTGTTCTTACCTGGGCTGCACTTTAAGGTGAGATAGGCATCCAAGACCACATCTGTTACTAAAGTGAGTTTCCCCCACAGAGAAATATGACCGGGGGAATGGAAACAAAGAGGCCAAAGCTGCTGGGCCCTTGTGATAGCAATTATATTGGTAAACTGTCGTGTGCTATTTAAGCTTGTTGAATGTGCACTATGGGAACAGGAAGGCCCTTCCTTGTCTCAGACTCCAGCACGTTTATCTCAAGTGTCCTCCAAAACTATCCTGGAGCAGGCTGGCCCCCTAAGTTGAGGATGGAGAAAGGACAAGAAGCAGTTAAGGGTATCAAAAACATTGTACCCCTGAGAACAGCCAGACGGTAAAGCAGTCCCAGAGGGAACTACTGTTTGTCCCAAGATGTAAAAAAATGCCTGCAGTAGGGAAAAGCAGTAGGACGCTTGCCCCCAGAGCAAAGCTCGTTGAGAACTGTCCATCTTCCCCAGCCGATGTCTGCTGGGTCTGTAGGTGCCTGGTTCAGCGATGCTGCTTTTGTTTGCTCTCTCAGTCAGCCGGCTCCAGTCATTTCTGATAGGTGTGAGCCCGGACTTGATGATGTTTTGCTGTGTATCTTTTTCGTACTATTTGTGTTTTACTTTTGCTTGCTTCGTGCTTAATAAACTTACTCCTTTGCAGCTCACTGTCTGGATCATACAGAAGAGCCATTGCCTCCTGGTCCATTACACTCTTAAGACAGTTTCATTCTTTCTGGGAAGCCCCTTAACTACACATTTTGTGATGTTCATTCCCCACTTGCCATGTAGAGCATCAGTGCTGGGGTCACCAGTAACTGGCTCTATATGCCCACCCATCAAAAAGGCATGTTGCCCTCCTAGACCCACAGGTCTACTCACCTGTGGCATGAAAGAGACCACTGGGACTCCCACACCTACCTTCTCCTGGTAGAGCTTATGCAGCCAGGCTGAGCACTGGTCCTCATCTTCTGGGATGTCTTCCATGGGGATCCTCCTGCAACGGCAAAGATCGGCTAGCAGGGAGGGAGCCGCACTTCTGAGTGACAGTGAAGGCTGTGTGGGGTGTTTACCTACGCAGCCCAAACAGAGTGGAGGTAGAGAGGGCATGTCCATGGCTAGAAATCCCAAAATGTAGTTATGATCACGCAGAGCCAAGCAAGGGTCCAATTCATTGACGTCAGTATGCTACAAGATGCGTCTGTTTTCCACCTCACCGAAGAGCTCCTGAACCTAACACTTGCCTTCCCCAGAGACGATGACACTGCCTCATTTCACATAAGGCAGTCCAGTAGATACAGAATCCATGCATATAAAGCCACACGCTAGTAGTTTCTTCATGCTAGCAATTTCTTCAGGCCAGAAGAGGCTTCGCAGTGATGGCCAAGTATCTCACCCAGTGGCTCCTTTCGCCTTCACTGAGGAAGACCTGCAAAGGATGTGGATTCCCGGAGCTCAGGCCGTCCTGGCATGGAAGAAGGCAGGGTATCTGTGCCAAGTAGAAACCTCTGAGCTGCTCTGCACCTGAGTGGCTGATCAGGTTCCAGGGTGACTCTTGGGCTTGACCTTGAACAGGGAGAAGTCACTGCCAGGTTTCCCACTCCATATGATGCCCTCTTGTGATTTCACGAATGCTATCTATGTCTGCTTTGGTCCATGGGAAAATGTGTTTGTCATGATTTTCCATGGGACATTTCACACACTACTGTGCCCAGGAATGGTAAGGGTCAACCCACCACACTGCAGCTGTTCAGAGAGGACACTGGGATTTCATCTTATAACAGGTCTAATGAAGAGCTGAATACTTCCTTGTGAGGTTGTGTTCTCCACAGGTAAGTATTCACATCATTCAAACCCCTACAAGCGTCTCTGAAAACATTCTTCAACCTTTTGGGTCCCTACAATTTCCATGAAAATCGCCAGTTCTTTCTTTGCTCTTGGTGATTGATCTTCTGTGGTCTGCAAATCAGATCACTAAACGTGTCACAGGAAAATGGTTAGCAATGCTTTGCAAAGCACTTCTTCACTTGGATAGTGGGAGTTTAGATGATTTTACACTTTGTTAATAACATATTAGGCACTAATGCTCTTCATGGGTCTGGGGGTTTGGACGAGAAGTGTCTATATCCCTTTATAGACTCCAAGTATTTGAACATTTTCTCCACAGCAGCTGGTGCTGTTTGTGGAGGTTTAGGAGGTGCATGCCAGATGAGGATATGGCCTCATCCAAATTCTAGTTTCACTCTGCTTCCTGTGCCTGTTTGAAGATGTGAATCCTCGGTTTCTGCTTTTGCCTCTACCTCCATGGTGGATTCTTATCCCTTTGGAACTGTAAGCCCAATAAACTCTTCCTTCTGTAAGTTGCCTTGGTTGTGGTGCTTTATCACAACAGAAAGTAGCTAATGGTTTAACACTCTGTATTGCAGTGTGATGCATACTGAAGAATGCACCTGTCATCTTAAATGGGTTGTTACACATGAGAAGATGTATGCAGAATAGCACCCGGACTCTTCTTCAGTGGCCATCAGCACTCTTGCTGGCTTTGGTGGGTGGACTTGATCACAGGTGGCTATATATTCCAATTTCCAAACATGTTCCAGAGAATTGCAGTTACCAAGAAAACCACCCTCTGGAGGTTGAATAATCTTGCACCCTACCAGGGTCCAGCCACCTACTGAGTGGAGCTCCTACTGAGTATCAAAAGAACTCAAAGGAGAGAAAAAAACTCATTGGGAAGTCTCCTGCGGGATGGTGGTGATGGTCCCTTTGTCATCTGCCACACACTGAGCGGTACCGCAGTCTAGGATGGCACCATTAGAAAACATTGACAATGTTTCTTCTTACTTTTGTAGGAAACTCAGAGGCATTTCCAGTGAGTTCATGTAGGCCGTCAGTTCAGCAAAGCATTTAGACATCTCGAGTGACCTGGCAGAGTGATTTGCCACTGGGTTTTCACTGTGTAATTTGGCATATAAAGGGTCTTTACTCAGAAAGCTCTGTACCATTTATCTTCTCTCTTTGAGGGTATTTTAGAGGTTCTTGGTTGGCCTTCAAAGTAAATGGCCTACAGCATAGGAAACCAGTGCCCCCACCAACCCACTGAGATTGGATTTCAGCGCGTAAGTCACTGGCTTAATAAGCAAATCACCCTTGTGGCTTACTGTCTGAAGCATCTTTCCGTCGTGGTTCAGCTAATCTAGTGACTTTCTGGATATTATTAGTCAATACGCAAAAGGTCTTGCCTGGCTTCTCTAAGATCTCATGAAAGAGTTTTAATAAAAATCATGATTAGACTAGACTATAACCCAAAGGAAATATTGCAAAAGTCTTCTCCATTTGCATCTAGACCTTACAAGTGGTATATGCTGTTCTCTCTGCCCCTCCACAGAGCAGATCCATCTTCCCAGAAAAGGTGTTCACAAAAGAATTGTTACACTCAGACTCTAACTGACTGACAATAAAGTATGGGCTTCCCTTTGTCCAGCCTGAGCTCCTGGAGAAGAACAAGCTGGTAAACAGATCAGGAAATAAATAGCGGGGAGGGGAGGAGGCTTCCCAGATTATTAGTAATAGGATGTGCCTCTTGAGTTCATAATACAAACACAGACTGGAAAGAAGTTCAGTGTAAAACAGACTGTGGAGAAAAGATGCTAACCAGATGCTTCTGGAAGGAGGTCTCTAGGTGATTTGTGACTTATTAGAAACGAGCTCTTTTTTTCTAGAAAGGAAGCAGGGACAACTTACCTAACGTAGCAATCAGCATGATATTTCTTTCCGTTTAGGACTCCCAGCAATGTTGGGTTTTCATTGTTTCTGAAATTGAGTGTACAGTCATATACAGCTGGAACTATAAAAATAAGACAAACAAAGCAGTCTATAGCAGGTGAACCCAGCTCTGTTTGGTAGAGACACACACGGGAAGACATAAGCACATCATAACCTGTCTACAAATGACACAGCATGGCTCTGTATCTCTTCTCCGTGCTTTTCTAGATTGTTCAACTTTCTACATTGAATTTATATCATCTTTTGTAACCAGAAAACCAACTGTAAGCTAGTAATAGGAAACAGTAGCTACCACGGTCAGATGGATTTTAAAGCAATGCTGTACTGTCAGATCCAGATAGACAGTGACAGTAATAAGCTACAGATAGACAGTGACAGTAATAAGCTATTTTAATATGCAGAGCCTATCATGATTAACAGATGCCAGCGTTTGAAGAAATATGGGTGGAAGATGAATTAAACCAAAGCATATCATCTAAAGCTGTGCCTAAGGTACAGAAGCATAACTTTCTCCTTAATTTAATTATTTAATTTCATATGTATGAGTATTTTGCCTGTGTGTATGTAAGTGTACCACATGCATCCAGGGCCTGTAGAGGCCAGAAGATGGTGTTGGAGCCCCTGGAACGGGAGTTACAGTCAGTTGTGAGCTATCGTGTGGGCCCTGGGAACTGAACCTGGATCCTCTGTGAGAGCAGTCAGTGCTCTTAGCTACTGAGCCATCTCTCCAGCCCCTTATTTTATTTTTTAAATGGTATTTTATTTTTCAAATACCATTCTTTTAAAATATTTTTTAGAGATTTATTTAGTTTATGTGTTTTTTGCCTGCATGTATGTATGTGTATCATGTGTGCAGTGCCCATGGAGGCCAAAAGAGGGCATCAGAGTCCCCCAGGAACTGGAGTTACAGGCAGTTTTAAGCTGCCATGTGGGTGCTACAAACTGAATCAGAGTCCTCTGCAAGACCTGGGGCTGAGCCATCTCTCCAGCCTCTAAAGATTTTATCTTTTAATTATGTGTATGTGTGTGTCTCTGTGTGTGTATGTGCATGTGAGTGCTGGTGCCCACAGAGACCAGAAGAGAACGTGGGGTTCCCTGCAGCTGGAGTTACAGGTGGTTACAGCTGCCAACAGTGCTGGGAACTAAACTCCAGCCTTCTGCAACAGAACGAGTGCTCTTACCTGTGAGCCATCGCTCCAGTCCCTACATAACTTCAATGAGGATTTTTGTAGTCTCAAAGCAGCCACAAGCCCTGGACAAGACAGCCAAAACCTACAGGGGACAAGCTGCTGAAATAGTAATGGCTCTGCTCAACCGTACGTTATGCTGTCACGTATTGTACATTAGATCCAAGCTTGCTATGGAAGCTTTGGGATCTGGCCCAGGCTCAAGAAATACTTACTGGGTCAAAGGATGGATGGGAGATTGAATGCACCAAGGGAGTGATTAGAATGTAAAAACACATGGTAGAAATAGATGGCCTCTGACTAACGTGCATGGCAGGAGGGGATGGTAGAAAGAGAAAGAGATTGAGAGGGTGGCTAGCTGTGGGTCCCAGGGCCACTCCTTCCCAGAAGTGGGCAGTTTGTCTGAGTGGGTCACTCAACCCTCCAAGCCTAGGTGTTCTAGAAAGTGGGCTCATGATGGCAGCATCACACACTGGCTGAGGTGACAGATGTGAGCCATGACTGTAGGCCTAGCACACTGTGTTCACTGTGATGAGACTGACCCTTTACTGAGAGTTTTACAATTACTATGGGCAAAAGTAGAGGGCAATCAAAGGGCTGGTAAAAAGTGGTGTGCTTAGGGATATGAAGAGTCAAGATTCAAAAATGATGAAATCACCATCCATCTTCTTTTCTCTGCTGCCTGACCGTCACCCAGGCCTGTAGGTCCATTGTCTTTGCCATTGGGAGGGGTTCCAGGAGGGCCTGGAGGCAGTGCCCTCAATGGGCATCCACTCTCCCTGTCCTTGGTGGGCACTGTTGAGTGAGATGGGCACTAGGCCAGGAGACAGGTCACCTATCCATGACGGCCTTGCCACAGAGCTGAAGAGAAGGCGGCCACGGGAAGCCAGCGGACAGAGCAGGGTCACCTTTGCCCACCAATCCCTGCAGGGCAAAGTCCAGCCTGTCCTTGGTGCATGAAATGCAAGGAAGGCTCGTCCGGCACTGAGCAGCCTCATACTTGAAGCTGTGTTAAGGTTCACCCCACCTGGTGTTCACCCAAACCTTCTTCAGAGCCCGGGGACCAGGGAGTGGGGGCATGGGAGAATAAGAGAACTATTTTAAACTGAAGAGAAGATTGAAAGGAGATGGAGAAACTCATACAGGCTCAGGTGGTGTTTTTTAACTTCTATTTGACAGTGACCTGGGGCTCCAGATTCATAGGTCAGCTGCCACAGAGCACAGGCCAGGCCATCACCTTCAGGCAGTTGATGCCAACAGATGGGCAAGAAACATCTCAAAGACCCTGCAGCCCTGTGGTTAGACCAATCCTGTAGTCCTCCAGGGATCCAGGACTTTCTGCACAGTACAGTGCTGCCACTGACCAGCAGAGGGCAGTGTTCACTGGGATGCATCAACTTAAGGGACCCAGTCAGACCTGCACCTGCCCTTTGTCCTAGGTTCCACCAAGCCTCACAGACCCCTAGTTAGCCCTCATCCTTACCTACATCTCGCAAGCACTTCACAGTGATAGCAAAGCCCTTGGTGCGCGGTAGCAGGTGGTGTTTGAGGCTGGGAAGCCCCTTGGCTTGCGCCACCTGCATGCTGATCTGGTGCTTTTTCTCTGTGAACCGTGTGCCCTCACAGTGGATCAGGAACTAGAAAGCAAAGAATAATGATCACACAGGGTCCCAGTCACACATCCCTGAGGTCAACCACACTACAGTCACACAGATATCCATAGTCACACATAACCCTAGCTTTGTTATGGAATAATGATCACACAGGGTCCCAGTCACACATCCCTGAGGTCAACCAGACACTACAGTCACACAGATATCCATAGTCACACATAACCCTAGCTTTGTTATAAAGGGTCCTCAAAGTCACGCAAAGTCCCAAGGTCCCATATCACTCCAGGTCACACAGTTCTGTGTTCACCCAACATTCCTACAGTGACCCCAGGGTGTGGTGGCTTCATACAATCCCACAGGAGCCAGAACAGCCACTACTCCAGTACCTACGTACAAGATACTTCTCTGGGTAATCCCGAAGGTGCAGCAGGCTCTTGGCAACTGTCTGACGATCTTGCTCCCACTTGCGTGTGCAGAAGATCATTTCTACAAAGTACCACATCCAGCCAATGATTGGGACATAAGCCAGTTCTTTCTTGGCCAGGACTTTAGAGTTCTGAAACAGAGGAAAAGCATGTGCGTGAAGGACACTGGGAGTCACCTCTTATGGCCACTGAAGAGCTTACTGGATAAGGGTGACTGTTCACCCCAAAGACCAGAAAGCCAAAGCCGTTGGACCTGGAGCCTTCCCCATTGCATCGGCTCAAGGCCAGGGTCATGGCTCATGACTGGGGGTGGACTGCTTTGTGGACAGGAGTCTGTGAAAGTGCCAGCTACCAGCTGAGGGTACAGGGGCACGAGGATGCCGACGGCTACCACAGCCTTCTGAGACTACTGTCATCTTTCATGTTCATGAAGCCCATCTTGATGCTCTGTGTAGTGCTGTCTCATTGATCACCCACAAGCCTCAGCAAAGTCCGTGAGCTCAACAGGCAAGGCTGGCATGTTAGATTGGCGAGTGGAGCCCAGCACAGTCCAAAGGGCCCCACAGCTCACATGGGGGCTGGGGACATGGGAGATCAACTAAGATCAGGGGGGGCTCTCCACTCATCTCCCTTTGCTCATCTCTGAGGCAGGAAACTGCCCACGTACCTCAGGCTAGCGGGAGATCAACTAAGATCAGGGGGGGCTCTCCACTCATCTTCTCCCTTTGCTCATCTCTGAGGCAGGAAACTGCCCACGTACCTCAGGCTAGGGCTGCTGGGGTTTATCATAAGTAGATGTGCCCAGGCCACACCTATTGGTACCAGGCCAGAGGATACTAGGGTTCTAGTGGGAGAAGAGGTCAGGGAGACACAAAACATCTTTTATTTAGCTATTTTTAATAATAGCTATTAATTAATTAATTTGTTCTTCGTATGTGTGTGCTCACGTGTGTGTAATATGTATGTGCATGTATTCATAAGTGGGAATTAAGGTGTGTGTGCTGCGGTAGGCATGCGGAGGGAGGGCAGGTCAACTTCAGGAGTCAGTCTTTACCTCCCGTCTTGTTTTCGACAGAGTCTCTTTGCTGTTTTCTGTTGTATATGCCAGGCTAGCTGGCCCATGAGCTTCTGAGAATTCTGTCTGGATGTTCTACCTTCCTGTGGGAATGTTGGGATTACAGATGTTCACACTGTACCCCCAGCTTTGCATGGGTTGTAGGGATCAAACTCAGTTCCTCGTGCTTGCCCACCAAGCCTTCTCCCCAGCATGACCCCTCCTCATTGTACTGTTTGCCCTTCACTTTGGAACTGACCAAGATGCTCCCTGACTAGTGAGATGGATGCCCACTCTGGCGGTGTGGACAGGTGAAGCAGCTGAGCTGTTCTGGTGGCAGCTGTCTGGTCATGGTTCTAAGCATCAGATACCAGGGAGGAGAGCAGCTGCTTCTACAAGGCCCCTCTCCTCTGTCCCCTCTTCCCATGGCCGTCCCCTCTTCCCATAGTCTTCCACTTGGGGTCTTCATGACTGGAGATGCACTGGTAGTCTACTTTGAGCCAAGAGCATGACCGTGACCCTGATCTTGGGCCTAGGCAGTGGAGAAGGCTCAGGTCTTATGGCTTTGTGGCCTTTGGTGAGAACAGTCCCACATTTCTGCTCCACCTTGGGCCCTCAGGCAGGACGCGCCTACCGTCAACTTCTCTTTACAACACAGAAAGACTTTAAAGTCTCAGAAGAGAGAATCAACCAGCCAACTCCTGAGATGATCCTGTTCCCATGCCTGTCACTCAAGAAACCACACTGCCCTCAGGGTCAAAGCTCTCCCTGGGCACCTATCACTCTGTGTCCATGCTGAGCCTCAAGTCTCTGGAGTCCTCCTCACTCATGTCTGTGACAGGGAGGGGCCTAACCAATGGCCTCACCTTCCTTTGTTTCTAGCACCTCCCTACTTAAAGCTTGTATGATGAAAATAAACGAAACCAAGCAAAACGTCTCCACTGAGCTCATCTTTGACAGGTTAAGACTTTTTTAAAGTACGTATACCTGGGCTTCAAAATTAACAGGGTGCTGCTCAGGAGTTGATAGATGACTTGCAGTGCCACCCACAGACGTGGTACTGATTCTGAGGTTGCAGCTACTGGGCTGGGTGGGTGGCCGGTCTCACAAAACCCATCACAGCTGCACTTTTGAGTGTATGTAATTCCTGTTCATGGCTCTACCGATGAGACTCAAGTGGGTGTTAGCAGTCGGCCTTTGGCGGCCTGCTGCTGAAGAGAGAAGGCTGCCCTGGCGGGCGGTGGGATGTAGGAGAATAACCAGAGAATAACTCACTATTTCCCTCAGTGTGTTGTATCACCAAGAGCAGAAGCATTCATTGGCTACAGGTCAGTCAGCGAATGATACTGTGGACAAGTCAGCAAACTAGAGTCCAAGAACCAACTCTATCCTGCCTCCCACTCGTATAAATGAGGCTTACTTGGTACCTCTACTCTCCTGCATGTAGGCCACAGCTGCTATGAAGGAGCCAAAGAGTACTCAGAGAGATGATGTGGTCCACAGAGTTGAACACATCTACCCTCTGGCCAGCCCATTACAGATCGACTTGGTCAACCCTTGATTTATTAGCCACTAAATTCACTTTGTATGACTATTTCATGCCTGGGGAAATGCTTCCCATGTAATGCTAAATTCTCCTAAAGGCCTCAAGCCAAAACTGAGGTAATGATTAATGGGGGCGAGGGGGGGAGAAGCAAAGGAAAATACCAGCCTTTGTTGCAGGGAGGGAGTAGATTACAAGTGATTTTTATAGGGTGTATGTGTGTGTGTGAACATGTGTGTACATGCCCGCATAGAGGCCACATGGAGGCCTGAGGACAGCCTCAGATGTCAAATTTTCTACAGCAGAGTCTCCTGAGGTCTACATGCCTAGTCAGAGTGTAACCCAGGAGACGACGGAACAGGTGTGTCTGTAAGAGACCCTGTTGAGTGGCCCATCTTGCGTCCCACAGATTCCCTTCTGGTGGGTTCTCTTCTCTGGTTTTCTACAGTCCGACTCACAGGAAAGTGCTGTAGACAGTTTCCTACCAGAAAACTCCCAAGAGCGTCTCCAAACAAAATGAACCCTGTTCCACGATTAGTCACAGCCAAGGGGGAAATGTACAAACCAAACACGAAACAAAGGCGCAAAGAATTCATCTCTCTTAGGCTGGGAATAACCACACATTTATCAAAATCAGGCTCAATGCGTGGAGCCCTTCGGCTCCTAATAGCATTTTCCGCAACCCAGGCACTTCCCTCCCCGTCAGGCCCCAGACTTTTCCAGATCTGACAGGTGTGCAAAGTACAATGGAAAAAGGGGGGGTCTGGTGACCAAGAGGAGGGCTGAGACCAGAAAGTTATTTATCACCCCGACTCTTCTGAGGGGTCGTGGAAACTGGGACAAAACAGATAGGTAAAAGGAGGTCCCTGTCCCAGGTCCTTGCCCTTCATCCCCACTCCCAGTTTCTGTTCTGAAGGCTATCCCCTTCCTGGGATGGCCTTAGCCAAGAGTGGCTGGGAAGATAAGCAGAAGGCTTTACCCAGTGGGAGACAGGACTCCTTACAAGCAGGAAATAAAAGAAGGACTTGCCCTGGAAGGCAAGGGGCAGTGCGGACAGCTGCAGGACTGCTGTGGGAGTGTGCAGGATCCTGAGCAGGAACAGGTAGGTGAGTGCAAGGGGAGTTAGTGTGGGGAGCAGAGCAGTTCACAGCAGATGTGGGCTGGGGCTGTTTACAGAAGAAGGAGGCAGCTACGGCTGGTCTACAGCCTGGTTTCTGCCTGGTTTTCTCCTGGCCATACAGGCTAACCGGCTTGCCAGATGAGCCTAACTTAGGTCTGCACGTCAGGCCTGTCCTCAGGGAGGCTGCACATCCATGAGCGGCTCAGTCCTCTTCTCCACCCAAGTCACTAGGCCACTTCAAGTGGGTACCATTTGCTTGACAGCTCCCTTTGCAGTCCAACACCAGGTCCCTGTATCTTGCTCAGCAAGTAAATGGTCAGGACAGAAAATGGCTCATTTCCCGGCTCCTGCTGTCACAACGGGGTCTGCCAAGTCTGTAGACATGGTGCTGCTTAATCTTGGCTCAGATCACTACCATTTGTACAGCATCAAAACGATGGAGATTTTGGCTGCACAGGCATCTAGGGCAAAGCTCCTGGATGGGTCCCAGGAAGCAAAACACTGATTCTCTCGTTCCTCCAGGAATTTACTGCACTTTTCATAAAGATCAGGAACTAACCAAAGTCCAGGCTACAAAGAACTACTGCATACCCACTTTGTGACAGGCATTTAAGCTTGGGTGTCTGACTTACTCCATTAAACCCTTGTAAATACTGCACCATGAAAGTAATTAACCGAGGGTCAGGAAGATCAGAAAACCTTCCCAACTCACACAGCTGGTGAGTGTGGGAGCCTGGGTCAAGTTCATATCTCTGGGACACTGAGCCCATTTCTTCATCCACATGAGCCCTCTCTCCCATATACCTTTGCCAGACAACAATTCTGGAACAAGTAGAGAAAAAACTAATCTCAACTCTGAGCATAGAAGACATGGGGGCTTCTCTTAAAGGCTTTCTTTTTTTAAGTTGTATTCAGTGTACCCAGGACGGCCATGAATGCAGCCCAGTCCAACACAAAATCCTAAGCTTACTTAAAGTATTACTTTTGTTTTGCTCTTATTGAGACAGGGCCTCCCTGTAGCCTTGGCTGGCATGGAGGTCACTATGGAGACCAGGCTGGGCTTGAACTCTTGTTTTGTTTTGTACTTGACTGCATGGTTCTAGAACATGAACTCTGTATGTGACAATTTCATGCCATGATATCAAAATGTCAGACATGACCTGTTAGATATTCAAAGGTAAAACCAGAAAGGCCATGATCGACAGGGAGGTTACAGTGACAGAAGTTTACAGATCACATCCATGCAGCTTTGCACATGAATCTGCATTGATGTCATTCCTACAGAGAAATTTGGTCAGAAAAGTTACCCCTTTACTACTGAACTTCCAGAAATGTATCCCACTCAGAGCTGATGGCCAGAATTGTCTTAGCACAGTGAAGTCAGAACTGGCCATGATTTGGTTTCACTCCGGCT